AACACAGACAGACACAAACACAGACACACACAAACACAGACAGACATAAACAGACACACAGACAGACAGACACACACAAACACAGACACACACAAACACAGACAGACATAAACACAGACAGACAAACACAGACAGACAGACACAAACACAGACAGACACAAACAAACACAGACAGACAGACACAAACACAGACAGACACAAACAAACACAGACAGACACACACAGACACAAACACAGACAGACACAAACAAACACAGACAGACAGACTCATACCAGGTTGATTGCTTGCAAACACAGACAGACAGACACAAACACAGACAGACACAAACACACACACAGACAGACACACAAACACAGACACACACAAACACAGACATACATAAACAGACAGACACACACAGACACAAACACACAAACACAGACAGACACAAACACAGACACACACAAACACAGACAGACATAAACACAGACAGACAGACAGACACACAGACACAAACACAGACAGACAGACACAAACACAGACAGACACAAACACACACACAGACAGACACACAAACACAGACACACACAAACACAGACATACATAAACAGACAGACACACACAGACACAAACACAGACAGACACAAACAAACACAGACAGACAGACTCATACCAGGTTGATTGCAATAGTTTTTTCCCAGTGCTTTTCATTGATGATCCCTGCATTGTTGCACAAAATGTCTATGCGGCCAAATGTTTTAACAATTTTTTCCAAAACTCCTGTAAGGGAAAACATGAAAGCATTCAGAGCATATCCACACTCTCTTTTACTGCTCTTATAAAGTGACTTGAGTAATAGCAGCATTGTGACACTGTAATCCATATCAGTCCGAGCCTCATGTAATCATTCCCAGACAATAAAACATCTCTCAAATCTGGAAAAACCTTTAAAATCTTCCTCTGATGTGACGTCGGCCAAATAAAATTCAGTCCTGTCACGTCCATACTCCTGATCAAGTGTGCTCTTCAGTTCATTTCCCAGCGATTTATTCACATCGATTAAAGCCACCTGTAATCAAATGAATCTGTGTGAGCTATTACAGTACAGGACTCTGACATTTAGAAGTCTACAGTAAAGCAGAGCAAGTGCCTTCTGTGTCCCTCACACATTTTAATTTCATCTTTTTTCTTAATAAGGATGCTTTTAGGCTGCATTATAATATATATATATATATGTGTGTGTGTGTGTGTGTGTGTGTGTGTGTATATATATATATATATAAATTTAATATAAGCAGATTTTAATTTTAGAGATTTTAAGATTTTAATGACATTTTAATAGTTAGAATATGAATTTGAAAACAGGACATCTGAAGAAATAACTTATTTTCAAATAAGCACCTTGCAGTGTTAAGACTTCGTAATGACTAAATGAACTTTACTGTTCAGGCGTGTGAACGAAATACAATCAAACCTGGCGACCAGGAACAGTTCCGTTCTTTAAACGCTTTTCAACTTTGACACAATTTGACGCCCATCTTTTTTATCAATGCCAGGTTTTGTTTTGTTTTTTTAAACAGACTTAGATCAAAATTTTAATGAAGAGAAATAATTTTGCCTGTTTACTTTTTTCTCCAGATTATTTTTTCAACGCAACAAGGTTTTCTAAACGGTTAAACGTTACGAAGACGCCCGCCCCATTAATTTTTTAATAATTTATTTTACTTATCTGCATCACTTTTTCAACTTTTCCTAGACAGTGTCAAACTATCCAATTTTGCATATATAGATACTTCTATCTATAGATTAATGTTCAGCCTGCTTTTTTTCTGCATCGCAAACTCATATATTATAAGTCGCTCTGTAGCGCGCGCGTTGCTTCCCAGGCGGCGCGTTGAAACCCTGACGCGAGACACAGTATATCGAGCCTTTACACTGTATCGTTCATTTCTGGTACTTGGCTTTCATAATACAGATATAAGCACAAACGGTTTATATAATTTTTTAATTGATTTGTTTTACCTTTGAGCCGTTTTTCAGGAGTATTTCGACAAAGCTTCTGCCCAAACCCTGAGCTGCTCCGGTCACTACACACACTTTATCCTTCAGATCCATCACAACACACACCTGCCGCAGAAACCAGAAAACACAGCACTAACGGCGTCTAATGACTAACTAGTGACTGACTACCGATGACCAGAACAGAGGCAAGGGTGAGTGGGAGGAGTTACACAAACCCACAGATGTGTGGCGAAATGCGTGTAAATGTGTCCTGATGCAACATTAAAACACTCTAGATAGCCTAATACAACCTGTGTATCATAAACATCCCGATAGGTTTCTAGAAGCGTCTCGGAGACACAGTTCTTCTGGATTGAGTCTGTCTCAGTTTGTTCTGTTTCTTCATGTGACTCCAGACAGACTGATGATGATCAGATCTCTGTGTGCAGCACAAACATCTCGCTGCATTATTACAATTAAACTATGTAAACTGATATTTCCTACTGACACATTACAGCAAAAGATAGAAATAACTGACTTAAAACCATTCTTTAGCTGCTGGAAATACTAGTGTTCTGATCATTTTGGCCACCGCTGTATATATATATATAAAGTCATGTGTAATGCATTGCACTGTAATGATGCTTTCACAATCTGGTAAATCACATATAGATCATTTCCAGACAACAGATGAGATCATGACACTTAAAAAGCCTACAAACCTTTAAGAACTTCCTCCAATGACACATTGGTTGCATAAAGCTTTTTTGTGCTTCTTCTGAAACTTGAGCTATAAGTTTGTTACAGCAAACAGTAAAAAAACCAGTTTGTTCTGTTTCTTCATGTGACTCCAGACAGACTGATGATGATCAGATCTCTGTGTGCAGCACTAACATCTCGCTGCATTATTACAATTAAACTATGTAAACTGATATTTCCTACTGACACACTACAGCAAAGCTGCTGGAAATACTAGTGTTCTGATCATTTTGGCCACCGCTGTATATATATATATAAAGTCATGTGTAATGCATTGCACTGTAATGATGCTTTCACAATCTGGTAAATCACATATAGATCATTTCCAGACAACAGATGAGATCATGACACTTAAAAAGCCTACAAACCTTTAAGAACTTCCTCCAATGACACATTGGTTGCATAAAGCTTTTTTGTGCTTCTTCTGAAACTTGTGCTCTAACACATCTGATCCAGCCTGAAGACTGTGGTTTTTCAGGGATGTGTCCCGTGTGCACAAACCAGTGGATCCAAGGGTTCATTGAGCGGTCTCTCAGATGTGAGTGATTATGCTCCACTTCCTGGAAAGCGGGCAAAACAAGGGGCTTGGTGATGATAATTAACAACAGACCTAACGTGTGAGGTAGAGTAAAGGAGAAGCAGTCATTTTGAGCTCTAAGAGACTGCTTTGGATAAAGGTGTCTGACAAATATGCAAATCTGAATGGAAATTCATCAAATGGGATTTGAATTGAAACACCACAAATAATTACATCAGTTTGGTTTATTATTATAGCCTACCTTTTAATTCTCTGCTATGTACTACACTCACACACACACACACACACACACACACATACACACACTCACTCACACACACACACACACACACACACACACACACACACACACACAAATATCATTAACCTGATAGAAAATCAATGGAAGTCTATGTAATGTCCTCACTAAGATAGCCAAACAAACGTGTGTGTGTGTGTGCGCGCGCGTGCGAGCTAGGTAATAAATAATTTTTATTATTATTAGTTAGTACACGTGTATATTATAATTAGTTTTCATAATAGCCGTCGTAAGAAATATCTAATTAATTAAAACGCATTTGAGAAATGCTTCTAAATAACGTCTCACAGATGATGCATTGCAACCATTCACTCCATCTCAAAATAAAAGTACTACAAGACGAGTGTAATTTACGTCTTTGTTACGGTCTTTTTGGAGGCAGCGGTTTGACCAATCAGCTCTTGCGCTCGGGTGACGTCGGCATGACGTATTTATGAAAAATGGCGGCTACGCGCAGCAGTGAGTTCGGCGACTTGGTTCAAATTAAAAAGCAACTTATTTCTATTATAGCGCAGTGTAAGGAAAGAGGACTCGTCCACAGTGTGAAATGGTAAAGGAGATTCTATTTATAATTCAACACATGTCAGGAATACAGACCGTTATTTAATTACATATCTTTATGTGTGACAGTTAGTCTTCTGAACTTTCCATTCATCAAAGAAACCTGAAAACATTCTACTCAGCTGTGTTCAACATAATAATAATAATCAGAAATGTTTCTTGAGCAGCAAATCAGCATATTATACTGATTTCTGAAGATCATGTGACACTGAAGACTGGAGTAATGATGCTGAAAATACAGCTGCGCATCACAGAAATAAATTACA